GCAGCAATAATGAGTAATAATCAGACAGGATTAGTACAAGACATTGAAGCGTGTAGCGAGGACGTGTTTTCACACAAATTAAAAGTAGTCTCATGCACTTACAGATGATATACGGAAACGTAATAAAGTAGAGATATGTATGTTTAAAGTTAAGTAAGCTGCTAAATAAGGAACACGTAAAGGTATTCACAACATACACATTTAAGCATGAACACAATTTTTCCTTTCTAAATTCGAGATGTACTGTAATCCTGTTGTCGATATCGATGTGTGCCCTATGTAACTTCAAAATTACTGAAATTTCATGTTATTTATAAATCGGGTTTTATAGACGCTAGAATTAAAAAAGTCACCTTTCGTTAACAATAGGGCCATTTAGACGAGAGAAAATAAATCGCGGCGTATATAAGCAACTTCATTTCGGGGCTTATGCATGTATAAGTCGCGACTTGTTTTCTTAACTTATTTTTCTCGCTTTTGAATAGTTATCGGCAACAAAAGCCGTTCCTGGCTATATACGCCTGTTTCTACTAGGCGGAGTTTTTTATCTAAGAAACTCTTTTCGCTTGATTTCTTTTTAATTGAGATCGATCTGTCAAAATATTTCCTTATATTGATATACAGTAGGTTAAATGATGCGATCTAAGTTCTGTCTATAGGTACGGCTTGCAGTAATTGAGGCTGTGGGTTATATGTCTAATCTGCTGTCACGAGAGAAACTGGGAGAACAGTTGCCTCGAATGTTCAGCGGTATCAACAGCTTATACAGGAAACATCCACCAGCTAACAGCTGGGAAATTTGTTACGCATGCGCTAGTTGGGCTTGCGTGTATCCCACGAATATATTCGCGCGGTACGGGACCTTTCAATTTATAAACAAAAACATCGTAGCGAACTTCTCTTTCGGTGTTACTGTTTGTGTATTTTGCTTGTTTTTAATTCTGTCAAAAATAAAAAGTAATAAACAGGGATAAATATTGTGCCGTGTGTGGCAAATGCTGCAAAAAAAATTAAATGCTACAAGAAGTAGCCTTCCCAAAAAGCACTGTTTTGGAGAGTTGCTTTGGTATTTCGCTTGTCGACAAGGTACAGACACAGAGATTATATGCGAAATTACACTTATAGGGGCAATTTATAATTAAAAACGATTATGAAATTTTTCTTTCTACACCCCCAGGGAATTCAAAAGTACAATTAGAATTTTGGAGATTTCGGCTAATTTTCTTTTAATCTGGTCGAGTAGGGACCACGCGTAAATACAGAATGGGACGGAAAAATACAAGAACATACTTTTAGAATATTTCTTGCTCGAGGGAACGTAACGGGGCTGACTTTTCTGTACAACAATTATTAAATTGTTGCCAAGGAATATAGCAAAAGATGTTCGCAGTTCTTCAAATAGTTTCATGATTTTTTAGCTAAACACGTCAACCGGTAAAAGCACACAAATACTCAATATATCAAGTACAATCCACGATTTCATTGGGAAGGGCAATTTTCACATCAACAAAATGCTGTTCATCTCAAACAACAAACAATGTGGATGCCAAATTTAGTGCAAAAAGTTTGGAGATTTCCTTGAGATTTCGAGCTATCCGGCTTGCTCAATAAATACCTGTGACTCAGGCTTAATACAAACTTCACAGCTGCTTAGGCATATGTTCCCGTAAAAATGCGGAATTATCCGGTGAGATATCGACGAGAAGTGAAACTAAAGGTTGTAAGAAACATATTACGTACTTTTTTCTCGTTTTAGAAGTCAATGTTGGGGCGAGAGACTTTGCTCAAACTCACGCGCGCCAAATTGTGTTCAAGCCATCGGTCTACTTTGCCGCATGTGAATGTACTTATCACTCGCCCATATTCAGTCCAAGCCATTTGAAAATTATATAATACAATTTATATAATTACAATTTATACAATATGTAAATTTAGACCGCTTAGGCAAGAAAGTTTCCATGCCATTCACAAATAAACACAGCAGTTTGAAAAATACAACCGCTCGTCGAAGCCATGGAATCTTTGTTGGCAACATTTAACCAAAATTCACTGTTAAAAAGTCCATCTTTAACAGCAGAAGCAATGTTCGTGAGCTAATAAGGAGCTTCCATACTTTAAACTTTTCGATCATTGCCGAAAGAAGTAAAGATCTCCATAAAACTTTCGCTTTGTGAATTTCGTTCAAAATTCGAATTCGAACAAACATACGGCTATGTGCCAGCGATATTTTGCACAGCGACAACAAATTTCCCAGCTGTTTGTGGCGTCAGCAAAGCTCAAAATCCGCCATGTTTTTGCGGACACTTTTTGGTGGCGAGCCGGTCCTCCAGGAATTATTATATAGCTCAGTGGTAGAACTACATCATATCGTAATATTGTTCCGAGTTCGTTACATAAACATCCAAAATCGCATAATCGGCTAAATACTAAATTCGCCTCGGTTTTTTTTTGTTATTCGTCGTCGCAAGTCAGTAATGGCGCAAAATATACTAGTTATTTAAAATGTGTATGTGACCGTATTTATCTACGTCCCAGTCTTGTCTCCAAGAGTTGTGGTGCACAGCTCGAAATCTCTGAGTAATTTACTGATGCGCGCGATTCGATTTCGCTCGCATGATACGGATTACGGCAATTCCTCCAAGAGAAACAAATAAACCGTGCGTTTCATGCTGTTCGATTAAGTTTAGATTGAATTGGGGTAAGAATATATTTAATACATGTAGATTCTGGTCCTATTTTAATAATATCGCTGCTATTTCGCCGTTTAACAAGATGATGTGATCGTGTATGGGCGCGTTGACACGTCGTAGTTTGCACAGGATTGAAGATTTAATATAACTATATAAGCGCGAATTCCAAAGACAAAGTGTAAGACAAAGCGAATATATCATGCGGTTTATTTACATTTTTGAACAATTGAACTTCTATACTTTTTAAAGTACGATGTCCTTTTGAATTTCGCGATCGAACATTTAGGTTCGCAAGGCATCTAAATGCGAATATGAACTGTATTGTTTATGTTCAGAAGCTCTATATTGAGGACTGGCACGTTCGCCGGAGTAAACGCCAGAACAGGCGTCTTGTTAGTATAGAAAACCATTTGATACTTGCCGGCATTCATGTTATGAAAATGAAAATGTTTGTGTTTTGTTTGTTCTGTCAGTTAGATTATTGCAGGCGTACAATGGAACACCCAATATGTTAATGCAGTAATATTGTTCCTTACAATTATACTAACGTTATATTTTAGCCATCGGTTTGCACTACACACAATTTATTGGTACACCACAGTTAAAATTCATACCTATATCCAATTTTATCTGTGCCAAGGCTACCAGTGCAAAGGCTGAGTATGGATTTTAACGATACCGCGCCAATAAATTGAGTGCAATGAAATACAGGACTTTGTGTTGATTGTTCATAACTGGTATATGGCTGCTCTTCCTGCCTTTTAATTAATTTCACTATGCAAATTAAGTAATTTATGACCACTTTGCAAATAAAATAAAGAAATTTTAAAAATATTTTCATCAAATTTAATTCTGATTATATACAATATGGCTAGGAGTATTACCTAATGCACAGGAGTAGAACAAATAATGCGCAGATACATGCACGTACGCTTAGCAGACCTTTTTTTAAAATACGTACCAGGGGGCGGTTGTATTAACAATGAAGAAATTGGTCAGCCCGAAAATCTGATCACTGGTTCACATTGTGCATTGCTGTGTCGCTATCAAAGAGAAAACTATTGAATAACTTTAAAAAGTTCGGTTTTTCTTCCGAATACGCATTATGCAATCTTTTGACAGTTCATCATACACAAGGTTATTAATTCAGAAGATTCGTTAGTTTGCCGTGTGCAAGCTTTAAATCTCTTGTGCAAGGCATATTTTGTGTAGTATCTAAAAATCTTTTTTCTCACCAAGTTTGAAGCCTAAGTATTGAGAATTGCGGCTAAGTATTTTTCAATTTTACCAATTTCCGCAGTGTCGTTTAGCTTAAACGATGGATAAGTTATTCTTTTGAAAGTTTAGGAGTAGTAATTGATGAAAATCTAAGTTGGGTAAAACATATTGATAAAATATGCAAGAAAGCAAGTTCTGGTATCGGAGCTATAAAGCGCGCTAAACCGTACGTCAACACCAATACGTTACAAACCATTTATAAAGCACTGATCCAGCCGCATTTTGACTATTGTTCTACCTTGTGGTCAAACTGCGGTAAATTGCTTCAAGATAAACTGCAGAAATTTCAGTCCCGCGCAGCAAGGGTGATAACTAGTGCCACCTACGATGAAAGGTCACTAGATATTCTTAATACCTTGTCCTGGGAAACACTCGAAAATAGAAGGGAAAAATCCAAGGCTGTATTTATGTACAAAGTATTAAATGGCTACGCCGCCCCAAGTCTAAAAGAATCTTTCTGTAAAAAGAGTGTGAAACAAAATACTTATAATCTTAGAAGCAGTGAAAAGGATTTAATTCTTCCAAAACCCAGAACGGAATATCTAAGAAGAAGTTTTAAGTACAGCGGCGCCATGCTATGGAACAACCTTTCACCTGCAGCTAAATCGGCAGATACTTTAAACTGCTTTAAACGAGAAATAGCAGTAAACTAGTGGAAGATGCTGTGCCACACGTGTCAAATACGTTTATGTATTTTATATTTTTAACTCTATCTTTTTTTAAAGTACTTATACTACATTGTATTATTTGTGTGACGCCCCTCGTGGAAATCAGCTATATATAAATATGCTGTCGAGGCTAGCGTGGGTAAATAAAGTTTTTAATAATAATAATAATAATAATAATAATAAGTCAAATTTAAATAACACGCTTACATCTCTCTTGAATGAGTCAACTTGAATATTATGGATTAATTATGTAGTTGTAAACAGTATCTTTGTATTAAAAAAGGTTAAAAACATTAAAAACGGTTAAGCTATTAATGTTAAATTAATAGCTCTTTCGAATAAAATTTTCATAACTTGGAATCTTATGGTTATCATTATAGATTTGGACCGTGTTTTGAAAAAGGAACACGAAATTAGAGGAAATAAATTGGAAATATCTGATACGCCATTTAAAGCCCGACCAGTTCCAAAGAAAAGAAGAAGACCACTAGAGGCAAAAGCAAAAGAGGTAGCATTTTACACCAATGATTTGAAAACATTTAAAAATTTGACCAAGAAATTTTTGCAACTTTATATATTAATGGACACATTCTGCATGTAATTATATCACCTAATTTTTAAGCTTATTTACCGTCATAAAATGTTTGTTATATAGAATGTTAAGCCTAGCGAAGAAAAAAATAAGGAAACTCGGGCAGTTTTTGTCAGTGGCTTTTCCATTGACACGGATGACGAAACATTGGAAATGTTCTTTGAGAGTCCTAAACGATCTGGTGGAGGAGATATAGAAAAATTTGAAAGATGTCAACCCGATGTTGCTCTGATTACTTTTAAGAGTGATGAAGGTTTGGTTTTGTGCCATACAATATATTTCCATAAGATTTCATACCCTCTGTAGTTTATTCAAGAAATTCATCAATATATTTTTAATATTATAATATATACCTGTAGCGAGGGGAATTCGATTAAGTGTTACCCCCAAGGGATGATATTTTCGGAGGGGGTTGGCTAAGAGGAAGGTCTACGATATTCATCAAGTTTCATTCCCCTTCATCTTAAAATCGTTGAAAACTGCGCGGGACATTCACGCGTGGTACACGCAAATGACGATTGTTTAATGATTTACCATGTCTACCATATGCATGATTCTACGTATACCATTCTACGTATTTCAATATGACTGTAATTCTATAAATAATTTCTAGTGGCGAAGCGAGTTTTGAAGAAAGGAAACCTGGAACTCTCCGGTTATCATTTGCAACTCAGAGAAAAGAAAATGGAATTGACTCCTCCACTGGAAAAGGTCAGTGGTATAATTATGCTAAAAATGAATGTTTATGAGTGCTATGAATGTCCCTTCTTTCACCTAAATAAAGATATTTCTTAAATTGAACGAATGAAAACAACTTTAATAATGAACACATTCTGCATGTAATTATATCACCTAATTTTTTAAGCTTATTCACGGTCATAAAATGCTGGTTATATAGAATGTTAAGCCTAGCGAAGAAAAAATTAAAGAAACTCGGGCAGTTTTTGTCAGTGGCTTTTCCATTGACACGGATGACGAAACATTGGAAATGTTCTTTGAGAGTCCTAAACGATCTGGTGGAGGCGATATAGAGAAATTTGAAAGATGTCAACTCGATGTTGCTCTGATTACTTTTAAGAGTGATGAAGGTTTGGTTTTGTGCCATACAATATATTTCCATAAGATTTCATACCCTCTGTAGTTTATTCAAGAAATTCATAAATATTTTTAATATTATAATATATACCTGTAGCGAGGGGACTTCGATGAAGTGTTACCCCCAAGGGATGATATTTTCGGAGGGGGTTGGCTAAGAGGATGGTCTACGATATTCATCAAGTTTCATTCCCCTTCATCTTAAAATCGTTGAAAACTGCGCGGGACATTCACGCGTGGTACACGCAAATGACGAGTACCTCGCCGTAGAAGGGTATTCGCCATTTATACTTAACAAGGCACTTATTAAGGATGTTGTTTTCCCTCATTATATTGTATTTATTACCACATAGCATTGCATTAATTCGATATATTCTTATTCACGCAAAAGTGTACGTAAGCGAGTGGGCATGACGATATCATTGATTCGTGCATAATGATCAATAAATCGGGCTTTTTGTTAAAAAAATTACGGTTAAAATAAGGAGTTTAGATAAGCAGTATTGACGATAGCTGATAGGAACAGAAATCTTAAAGAAATAATATAAAGCTGTTATATAAAAAATTGGAATGTATAGCATGAACTCATAGTATTCGTTTATATGTTCTACATGAATAGGGCGGGTTAATGTAGATTGCAGGCTAGAAGGGATTATTGCAAGGGATTATTAGGAGCACAGCCTTTAATCTTGCCTGAGGCCCAAAATCATGGCCATGCAGGAAGGGATTATTTCAAGGGATTATTGAGACCCAGCCTTTAATCTTGCCCGAGGCCCAAAATCATAGCCATGCAGCCCGACTCCTGGTAGATCGCATGCATGCAAGTTGTACCAGGATGTTGCAATTGTACGCCGAAAACGACTCATTTCGTGTGTTCATTACGAAAATAACCCCTGAAATTAACACTTACTAAACATGAGGCGGGAAAACCAAAGTTGAAATTTATATTTAATATATATAAATCAGGCAAATCTGTATACAATTATAACAATGGTTAATGATTTACCATATCAGCATGAATTTCTACCTATTTCAATATGACTGTATTTCTATAAATAATTTCTAGTGGCGAAGCGAGTTTTGGAGAAAGGAAACCTGGAACTCTCCGGTTATCGTTTGCAACTCAGAGAAAAAAAAATGGAATTGAGTCCTCCACTGGAAAAGGTCAGTGGTATAATTATGCTAATAATGAATGTTTATGAGTGCTATGAATGTCCCTCCTTTCACCTAAATAAAGATATTTCTTTCATTGAACGAATGAAAACATTCATTATCTGTTTTATATGATACCAAAATAGATCAAATGTTATTGAATTATTTACGATTAAGTAAACGATTATTTTGTCTTTATAAATAACACAACTATCGGCCATGCTATTCAGATTCCTGATCGTTAATGCGTGCGAGATTGAGAATAGTGGAGCAACCGTAAAATAAAAAAAAACTATTGCACGCCTACGGTCAGTGGAAGAAAAGACCTTTAGAAATGAAACTATTGTTATAATTTAAATGCCTGATCAATTTTCTAAGCCCACGGGTGCGCAAGCAAACATGCAAAATCTAAAAAAATCTAATGCTGCGAATGAATACTGCTCATTAATTTCGCACAGGCGTTGTTCGAGGTTGTGCTTTTCAACGGTAGATTTCGATCAAGAATCTTTCTCAAAACGTGTTTTGTACCACAGCTGTACGTTACATCTGGATAAAAGCCTGGACGATAAAAATTCTTTTTTCACCATGCATTTTTGTGCAGAATTTTGCTTTTAGAAGTAATGTCTAATTCCCTGAAGTATAGAAAGGCTTTTGTGTTATAAAATTATGTGCACAAAGTTAACAATATTTTACGGAAATTATCGTGATTATATATTATTCACTACCACACGACGGCTCGTGTTGTAAACATTCCATATAAATACACATTATATTATATATATATATATATATATATATATATATATATATATATATATATATATATATATATATATATATAATATAATTTAAGCACAACCTCGAACAACGCCTGTGCGAAATTAATGAGCAGTATTCATTCGCAGCATTAGATTTTTTTAGATTTTGCATGTTTGCTTGCGCATCCGTGGGCTTAGAAAATTGATCAGGCATTTAAATTATAACAATAGTTTCATTTCTAAAGGTCTTTTCTTCCACTGACCGTAGGCGTGCAATAGTTTTTTTTTTATTTTACGGTTGCTCCACTATATATATATATATATATATATATATATATATATATATTAATATATATATATATATATATATATATAAACATTTTAAAGATTTCAATAAGCAGTGTATATCTATATCTATATCTATATCTATATCTATATATATATATATATATATATATATATATATATATATATATATATATATAGATATAGATATAGATATACACTGCTTATTGAAATCTTTAAATTGTTTTTATTACTTTAAATACTTGTTTTTATTCACTTTTGAAACACTCTGGTTATAGAAAACACAGCATGGGGACGAGGAAGCTTATCTTGGTGAAGTTCGAACCGTAATTGTCAGTGGTTTTTCCTCGGAAACAACAGACGACGTATTAGAAATGTTTTTTGAAAGCCACAAACGGTCTGGTGGAGGGGAGATAGAGAAGCCGGCTAGAAAGATGCGGCCCAGATGTTGCTCATATTACATTTAAGACTGCTGAAGGTTAGATTTCAACTCATATGTTATAGCTTCTTTATAAAATTAAAGTAGTTTCACCGTTGCATTCCAGATTCCAATATAAGTTTGGAATAATTTTTAGAAGCTCTTCAAAAAATGGTAGAAATAAAGATGTCTATATGTATGTATACATATATTATAATTCGAGTGGATGATTCAGTTTACCTATAAAATTACTTTTAGGGAAATTTTCTTCTAAAATGCCCTGAGGAAGTGCTAATAAGATAGTCAGTAACAAGAAACGAAATAGAAAATATTAAACTATTATATTAAAGCAAGATGTAAAATATAAAATTATAACACGCGCAATATTTTGTTTAGTACGGTTGAAATTGGTACGGATGAAATTTGGACCATCTATTTAGGTAGCCCAAATTTCATCATTCTCAATTTTATTCCTGCCAAAACTGAAATTGTACATAGAAAAAACCAATAAAATTGGCAGGGGTTTAATACTATTTCTGGTATGACTTTCTAGTGGCATCGCAGGTCTTGCTGCAAAAGGAAAAGATGGAGCTTGAAGGGTATCGTTTGCAAGTTAAGGAAAAGCAACCGGAGTTGTTTCTTCCACTAGACAGAAAAAAAATATATGTGGAAAACCTAGACCCAAAAACGACCGAAGACGGATTGCTCAATTATATAGAATTACGAGCAAAAACAGAGGCGTGTGCCGTAGAATTTGGTGATCACAGAAATGCTGTAGTGAGTTTCAATGACGTTCCAGGTACTATACTGTTATACAGGATGTTCTCAATATGCGTGACTTGGGTCATTCAATACAATATAAATACGAAATCTATTATGAGTATTTACATTCCTATTATTGTCTTTCAAGAGATGTAAATTAGCCAAGAAGCTTCAAATTTAATGGCAAAAAACGTCCATGGAGTTTAATAAACATAAATGTCTGGTAGCTTTCAAATTTACATTTCTCAAAGGTAGAATTGGATGGCAGTTGCATGAAGAATTGCACCGTTTAAAGCAGTGAACTCAAATAAATAACTGGAACGATAACTCCTCATTGTATTTGGAAAGCCAAAATTCGCAGGATTCTACCTCCAGCGACGCGTGTCTTTACCTGCCGCAAATTTTGGCTTCATTCGCGAGAGCCTCGCGAGATCACTGTTGGGGTTTTTTCATTAGCAAGCAGAGCGAATTTGAAAGAAATTTGGTTTGGACTATAATGGAATCTTAAATTCAACTTATAGTTGGACTGTTTTACGACCGGAGTTGCCGATCGGATTGGAAACAGAATCTATTAGAGAAAAAAGTTGGCGATGTGCAATTTTGACAACAATATTTATACGAAACATTATTTGATAGACATTATTTACTATCAATATCATGTTTATTTACTTCCACGTGACTAGAAGGCACAAAAATTACTTTTTATTTATTATAAAGTAAAACTGATCTTCCTGCATGGTCACGCAAAACTTCACGCGATGCTCTAGGCTTTTTCCTACCAAAGAACCGTCTGACTTAGCATTTCCAAAAATAAGGCCATAAAATGCATTCTACTAAGATCAAGAATGTCTCAGCCTAAAACCAGTTTGGCAGTTTTTATCAGATTTATGAGATCACAAAGAAATATTTTGTTTTGGCCGTGCTTGTTTTTGCATGTAAAGACTGGCGGTGATTTAGCTTCAACTTCCGGTTAGAAGGTAGCGTTCTAGTTATTTTCATTTCACTGGTTTAAAGGCCTGTTCCCTCGACCCAATTTTGTCGGATTCAATCCACTTCTAGCGTATAAAATGCACTCACTATCCACTAGTCAGTTAGAAAGGCTAAAGCACTATTAAAGCAGTACAAATGGCTTTATTTTATTTGCCCCTCGTATACATTGCAAGTCAACGGACTAAAACACCCATCAGAAGTGAATTGAATCCAACAAAATTTGATCGTGTGAATAGACTTTAATAGGGTCTTTAGAAAACCATTCTTAATATGTACATCAATAACCGCGAGAATATTAGCATAGACTATAACCCTGAGACAAAATTTTCAGGCTCGCTGCATGCGCTATACGGGTTGAAATTTTTCCGTGCATGACGCTTATAACTTGCATATACTCTGCATAAAGCTCACTACCATGTATGCTATTTTTACTAGATATAAACAACGTCTTACAAAATAACAAGAAGCTAGAAGGAGCTGTTTTGAAATTTTCCAATCCTCCTGTTTGTAACAGCGTTCTTGTAACTGGACTAACCAAGAAGACCACGAAACAGACAATCGAGATGTTCTTTGAGAACGAGAAAAATGGGGGGGGTAAAATATATGGAGATATCATATTCCAAAAAGACAAAGGAACAGCAGTTGTTTCTTTTTGTGATCCTCGTGGTAATCATTTTTTTATGTTTTGTTTATATATTCTGTTACCTGGCGCTAAACCACGATTTAACAAGGTGGAATTTCGTTTTAGGCTAATCGGTATATTTGATTACATTTTTTAGGCAATGCCAATCAGAATGTCTAAATTTTTAATACTTCATGTAAAATAGTAAATAATGTATTTTTTACTGGAAGTAGTCAAAATTTATGCATTCTGATTGGTTACTGAAAATGTAAACAAACTTGCTGATTGGTCTAAAAGTAAATTATTTTTGGTTGGTGCCTTGAAATTTGTTAGGCTTTTTTTAAAAAATGCCTAGACCTTGTCGGATTAGCACCATCATAAGTCGTCAAAATGATGGTATTCAAGCGACCTTTTGACATCGTCAACAACAGTTAAATGTCACACGAACACATGCACGATCGAGACCCTTAAGGAATGTTCAGCTGATCAGATTTTTTAGTATGTCAGCGTTTCTCATATAGCCACCTACATACGTGTGACGTCAACTAAGTGGTCGCAAAATGACCACTCAATATGTAGTTCAGACGTGGCCCAGAGTGGTTTTGTGGTTGGGCAGGGGTGCAGGCTAGCTGCCATCTATAGGGTGGGTAAGGGCGCCAGCTGCGAAGGATATCAGTTTTGCTTTAAAATGATGGGGAAGAGGCTTTGGAAAAGAACAAAAAGATTTTTTCACTGATACAGATATTTTCATCTTTTGTAGTTGTCCAGAATTTACGTTCCAGAAAACATAAATTGAATAGCTCATCATTAACGTTGAGCGAATACTACCCATTTATGCAAACCGTAAAAGAAACAACTACAAAAATGGTAAATCGGAATTCTGATGTGATGGATCATGTCATTAGGAATTGTGAGGAGGAATTCCGTGGTCTCTTCGGGGAAGAAATACTAGAAATCTTTAAAAAAAGCGAGGAAGAGATTGAGTTGCCAACAGAAATTGCCGATACAATTGAAAAGTACATCGTACAGTTCGCAGTAAGTGATGTACCACTCTGCGCGAAATTACTAGAAAATTCAAGGGAAGAATTGGGGAACATGATAACAACCGTGCAAAAAAATAATGTAACTATCACACTGGAAGAAGAGAAGCTCCAAATAAAGCTTACAGGAAAGAAAGAAGAGGTAAATGAGATCTATGAGCAGCTGAAATACAACATCATCGAAATGGAGGAGAAGTTAGATGTTGCAACCGACCATATCGTCATGCATGGAAATAAACTTGAATTGCTTCTACTTCATGATGTCGAGAATATACTAGAGAATGATTTCCAGACTGACGTGAAAATTGAACCACGGAAGGGGACTGTTACGTTTAAGGGGAAACCGAAACAAATTTCCCAAGCTAAACAAGAAATATACAAGATAGCCACGCTGATAGAAGAAGATAATTTTCGTCTCAACGAGATACAGGGGCATTTTCTCCAATCTGGTGGACTTGATATGATAAATAGAGGAATGAAAGGAATTGGTTTGAAAGGAATGGTTTCACTGGATTCGAAAACGAGCAAAGCTAAGATACTTGTTTTTGATAATGTTAATATTGAAAGCATTTACTCGTATTTGAGAAGCAATATGTACCAAAAGCAGTACTCGCTCGACGAAGACAGCATCACCCTTCTCAGAAGTAACAAATGGAAAGAATTTCATGGGACCGCAACAACAAATACGCCCGTTAAAATATACACAGAAACGAGTTCAAATGAAATTTCGCTGATCGGCAGGAAACCAGAGGTGGAGGAATCGTATGAAAAGGTTGAAGAATTTATGAAGCGAAATACTATCATAAAATATGGTATTGAGCTCACTAATGGACATGCAGGATATTTGGCAGAGTATTGTTCCGAGGATATTGAAGAGATCGAGAAAAAATTAGAAGAACAATCGGTAAGAATACAATTCGTCGAGGACGAAGCAACAATAAGTCTAGCCGGTACGAAAGAGGGCGTTGAAAAAGCAAAGAATCAATTGAATACCATTTTATCAGGAATAGCTAACGGAACGATGGTTATTGATAAACCACGCATGCAGGAATTCCTTGAATCCGAAGAAGGCAAACTGTTCATTGGTGGAATTGAATATAAACATAAATGCTTTATCTTTCAAACCAAGAGTGGTGGTGGTCAATCAACTGTGATTCCGTCAACCAGACCCAAACCCGCTTTCGAATTGCTCTGCAGTTATGAAACACGAGAGAAGGTCGTAATGAAAGTGTACAAAGGGGATCTTACTATACATCGCTGTGATGTCATCGTAAATGCTGCTAATGGTGATTTGAACCATGCCGGTGGATTGGCCGGAAGTCTATTGGTTGCTGGGGGAAATGAGATCCAAGAAGAATGTGATGCTTATGTGAAGGCAGAAGGTAGGTTATATGATGGTGAATGCTTTAATGGAAGTCCTGGGAAGTTGCCTTGCAAGCGTCTTATTCATGCGGTTGCTCACCGGTGGGATTCAAGCAAACAAGACAAAGTATGTAAAACGCTAAGAGTTACCTGCATCAGGGTCTTGGAAGAAGCTAAGGCCTACCGATCAATCGCTCTTCCTGCGTTAGGAAGTGGTATTTATGGTATCCCGAAAGATGTTTGCGCTGACATAATGATCGATGCCGCTGAAGAGTACAGCAAAACGTGCGACAATTGCCTTCTGAAGGAGATTCACTTTGTCAACAATGACGACGAAAGCGGTCAAGCTTTTGTTAAAAAATTCCAAGCAAAATTTGGCGGTCGGACTTTGTTCAAGAAAGACCAAAAGATGGGTGGAAGCAGATTTTGTCCGGCAGAATCCATATTTCAGAATGAGGAAAGTGATCGGGAAGAATCAGAGGTTTTAGCTGAAGCTTTGCCGAGACAAAGGGCTGATAATTTCATGATTAAGGGAAACATGAAGATTTTGGTTGCAGTAGGAGATTTGTCCACGTACAAGGTAATGAAAATTGTAATGAAAAATCCACTAATTTTGATACACTGAAAATTTAAAATTGTCAAAGTGTCCTGCAATTCAAATAACAAATAGACAAAATATCTCTTTAATTGTCTGTACTCGATTTTAGTGATATTTGAGTTCTTTTGCACCTAGTTTGATGGACCTTTTCGGTAATTACGTCACAACATTATCGCTTTAAATTTCGAACCACCTTAAATGAAATGGATTTAAAGTTTTACAGTCACAAACAATGTGCAAAGATGCAAAACATCTTTCTTCAACACATGCATGAAAAAGAAATTTTCAGCTTGACAAATAAGTATGGAAATACGACATAACGCGAGAACGAGGCTAACGGTCTTAGCCCTTCAGCCTCGTTCTCGTGTTATGGCTTTTTTCACACCTATTGGTCAAAATAAAAAATATTTTTCATGCATGTGTTGTAGAAGGATGTTCTGCATCTTTGCACGTGGCTCGTGAGAGTAAACTTGAAATCCATTTCATTTAACTTGGTTCTAAATTTAAAACGTGGTGACGTTAAAGTGCCTATATCACTTGTGGGATCTTTACGGATTTGAATAGAGCTTGAAAAAATAGTTTATAAGTTCTACAACCTTTTTTGATATAATTAAATAGTTTCGAAAATACGTCGGTTGGGGAGACTGGGACTCAGGAACGATTTGCAAACACGCCGTCTTTTATAATGTAAACATGAAAAGTTTCATTGGCGATATAGTTTGCGCTTTTGAAGAAAAAAATGCGGGAACGGTGCGTTGTGTATGGCTGTAGCAACTGGGCGAGTTTTTCTCAAAATATTTTACGTTATTGGAAGATCAAATTAAAATAAAAATTGATTATATTATGTTTGACAAGAACTCGGTTCCTGAGTCCCAGGCCCCCGAGCACGACGAAAATTTAGGCAAATCGTCATGTTTACATGTAAATATTTCCGAAACTATTTAACTATATCAAAAAGGGTTATAAAACTTATAAACTAATTTTTCAAGCTCTATTCAAATCCGTAAAGATCCCACAAGTGATATAGGCACTTTAAAATCTTGTGACGTAATTACTGAAAAGGTCTGTTATAATCAGTTTGCCTAGCCCAATATAGCAGGAAATTGTTGATATTGCGGCATAGACGAAAACATTGGCGGCAAGGGAAAACGGCAAGAGAGCATTTACCCCGTAATTTGTTGCCTATCCCCAATTGACTGGTAAAACATCAATTTAGTTCTCAGTATAGGACTCTTCCACCTTTGCCTTGAATATTCATTTTTGTACTAATTTTATAGGATTCATGTCAGTATTAACTGATTTGGGCACTGAAAAATTTACCTCGGAATATTTCACATCCGCAGAATTCATTTGCGCAGGAGAATAATGACTCAATAAAAACCAGCCCCAAGCCTCCCTACTGATATATATCTACGCTGCAGCATTTCTTCTCTTCTAAAACTATGTATATATTTCTGCTGTCTATAGGCTGACGTACTAGTCAACACAACAGGGGAAAGTCTCAACCTTGATTCCAACCCGTGTAGCAAGGCACTTAGTAATGAGGCGGGTCCGATACTACAAACTGAATGTAGCAAGATAGGCAAATTGCAGCCCGGTGAGGTGGCTGTTACCAAGGGAGGGAATTTGCTTTGTGACGACGTGTACCACGTTGTGTGCGTGCAGTGGAGTGAGGGACAAGGAGAGCAGGTATTTACATTTATGAGATGAAGATATCATCATGAATAAGATGGTTACGTTGGTATGATTTGAATAAAATCAGCTGTCTACTTAGTTCCAAAAAAAATTACTGTTAACAGCCTAAGGTTCTCAAAAGCTCACTCAAAGCAACTTGACGAAGAATTGACAGAAACCGATATTGTACATAATTACATAATGTGAAACAGAAATAATACAAAACATTGTTAGGAGGAACCAATTGGTCACTAGAAATAATTCATTTTGTTTGCGATAAGTGCAACTCTTCGACAAAATCAACCTATACGCTTATTAAAATTCGTCTCATCTTTTTAAGGTACTGCGTACAATCATTAAGAATTGCTTGCAAAAGTGCCACTCGAGTGGAAAGACCTCGATTGCATTCCCAGCTATTGGTACAGGAATACTTGGCTTTCCGCACGACGTAGCCGCGAAGATTTTCTTTGGAGAAACCAAGGAATTCGGACAGCGAGTTTCAAACTGCAGTATTAAAGAAGTGAGCTTTGTCGTGTACTCCCAAGATGCTAAGTCGATCGAAGCATTTACGAGTGCTTTGAAGAAGCAGTCAGAGTGGGACAGCAGTGGACCAGCTGCTCCTTCCCCTGTTACTGTAGGGCGTAAAAAAGGGAAGAAGAAACGAAATGCTAAATCAACGGTCAAAAAGAACGATTCACCATCATCTTCGATGACGAACCCAAGCGAAGGTGAAAATAGTGTGTTGTATATGCAAGTTGGTGACGATAAAGAAATTGCGATTGTGAAAGGAGATATAACCAAGGAAAAAACAGATGTTGTCGCTCACCTGACTAATCCAAGTTTGATTATGAAAAGTGGCGTCGCGATGGTTTTAGCTCGAGCAGGAGGTAAAGAAATAGAACGGCAATGCAAAGAAAAGATTGATTCTGGTAAACCATCGGCTGGGACAACAGTTTTTACCACAGCTGGGCAATTGGATGTCAAGTATGTTGCTCACATGGTCGCTCCGGCCAGTCCTACTTCCAGCGATATTGAGAAGTCCATAAGCAGTTGCTTAAAAGAATCATCGGAAAAAGAATGTGAAAGTATTTCATTTCCCGCCGTTGGAACTGGCTCCTTACAACAGGACCCCGAAAAAGCTGCTAAAACAATTTTTTCATCCATAGCACGGTTTCTCAAATCAAGCTCTGGTCCACTCAAAGTTGTTCGTATTGTTTTAAAAGATGACAATCTTGTGACGGCCTTTTTAGCGTCCGTGAAGAAGTTTAATGAAGATGAAGAACCAGGAATGTTGAAAAGACTGGCGAATTTTTTCTGGAAATCGGACCCATCAACCGTAAACGTGAAAGAAAAGCCAACTGTTGTTGCAGTAAGACTTTTGCTAGAAATCTACGCGAAAGACGAGCCTACTGTTCAACTTGTAAAAGGAAGAATTTTAAAGGTCATGGATTCTCAAAAAAAGAAAGAAAAAATAGAAGACGACAACATAGAGAAATTATCTGAACAGCAAATTTCTGAAATACAGGATTTGTGTGATATACACGATGTTAAAGTTACGATCGAGAAAATACTAAACCGTATTGTTCTGGTTGGGCACAGTGATGACGTTTCGAAAATATATGTCGAAATTCACCGAATTTTTACTCGCATTCGTGATGCAGAAAAAGAAAAAGAGAAGGCTGCTCTGCAAGAGGACTTTGCTGAGATGGTTTCTCAAGGAGTTCAGTGGTTCTCCGTAGATCCGACAAGTGGTGATCACGAGGAATATGATAAGCATACAAATGCAGTTATCGAAAAGGCGTATAGTAGAGAGGAAAAATCGGTAATTTTTCTCGTAAATGATGAAAAATTCGAAATTGTTTTTGATCAGATGCAAGAGACTAATCTGGTTGAAAATGAAACAAAAAAAGTTATCAGGAAAGACCTAAAAGGTATCTAAGCACTTAGTTTATTATTATCATATACATCTATTATTCCACTTATTCCAAATAGATTTCTGTAAACTTTCTTTTGTTTTCTCTAAGTTTGTTTCATAATTGGGCACAGAATGAGATTTTTCAACACTCTAAAATCGCATTTGAGAATATTTTGTGGCTTTTAAATTTCTTCTTCATCAGTCCTTAGCAAAACAGTCGGCCATTCTAATTTTGCTAATCACCGTATATGAAGCGTTATACGGCGGGTATCTCGACCAATCAGATTGCAGAATGGCTCATATACAGCTACTAGTGAGTAACTATATTATAAATATGAATATGAATATGCACCTTCCAATTAAGCGATCTATCTATATATGGCCTTGTATGCAACTCTTAATTGAATTAAAGGTTTTAAAAGTCTAAATGAACCAAAGCAGAATTAACTTCTTAGGGTTCCGAAGAACTGTTGTTGGGCATTCGCAAACCAAAATAAGAATTTCCAATGGAAAATTGAGACTTTTGTTTTCACAAAACATTGTCTTCAATTGCGTTTTCTCCATCTTTTTACTCTAAATTTTATTATAGAACACACGCTATCTTCATGCCCACAGTATATCTGATCTGCTAATATGTATTTCGCAACAATCTTTTGATGCGATTTATATTTTTTTGCAGCTGAAGTAACTGTCCCTGAGTATTGGGAAGCTCAACCCCGCGATGCAAATGGAAAAGAAACTGGAGTTCATCTGGTTTGCCTTGACCCCAACAATCCAAGCCACAAAGATGAGTACAAAAAGATTAGCGATCTTTTCAATAAAACTGCATCTAGTCACACAATCGTGCAAATTGAGAGAATACAGAATCCATCATTGTACAAGCTATACTTCATAAAGAAGCGAGGCTTGGACGAAAAGAAGGGTAGTAACGAGATGATCTTGTTTCATGGTACAAAGGGGGACAAATTAAAGGAAATAAATGAAAGTGGTCTAAACAGGAATTACGCTGGGATTAATGGTAAGGTCCCACTAACGATTTTGTAAGCAATTTAATATGATACGCTGTATACCATAGGCAGCCTGGCGAGGAATGGTTTATTTGAAGTAAACAGCATGAAAACATATAAAATTTAAACAAAGCCATCGTTACTTTGATAAAATTGACGGATAAGGCATTTATATTTACTTAGCAATATACTAAAATTTCGTTGCCTATACAACGAGCGACGTCCGTCTCTGTTTAACATGTCCTAAGGGAGGCAACTCCAATGACATGCAAATTCAAGCAATTCGAAAGTACGTCAAATATGCTAAAAATAGGATAAAATAACAACAGAAGTAAATTTCGCATTTTTCTCGCTTTCATAACTTGTTTACAAAGTTAAAATATGTGGTAAAATTATGGTTGATTTTATTATTGTGCCACGTAAATAAATGACATAACTGTCAATTTTATCAAACAGACGATGGCTTTTTTTTAGATTTTCAATGTTGATTTTCACTTCAAAAATTTCGCCAATGGTGTGGCATAAATGGGGCGCTTTTAGCATGCAGGTGGCAGTTGGGAAAAAAACTACAGTCTTTTAGGTATGACCTATTTTTCTACTACGTTATAAAATATTAAGCTCTAACTGTTGTGTTTTCAGGAACTGCTTTTGGTAAAGGTGTGTATTTTGCCAGGGATGCGTCGATGTCCGTTGGTTATACTCAACCAGACTCGACAACATCTAAAAGGTATATGTATGTGGCAAACGTTGCAGTTGGTGAGTACGCAGCCGGTAAAAGTTCAATGTTGGTACCGCCGCAAAAAAGTAATAGCATGCACTGATCCCTACGATTCTGTAGTCAACAATCTCTCAAGCCCGACAATATTTGTTATGTTTTATGATAATCAATATTATCCAGAATACCTAATTACTTTTACTTAAAATCTTGATGTCATTATGTACTTCAATATCCGGATGGAATTAGACTTAATCAATCATCATTAAGAATGGTTTATTAAGAATGATATTTTTTTCTGAGGAATAATACTCGTCAGTTAGAATCGTGCTTAGAATCTTATTTCAGTTTTTGAAATTCTCAATCGAGAATGTTTATCCGTAATTGCAGTCGAAGAAACTACATACGAACTATCAACCTTTCCTTTTGGGTTGTTTTTCAAATTCCGTGCTTCTCGGAAAAATATCTATATGTAAAACCTATATCTAGACACGCCTTGTGAACTTGAATTCAATTGAAAGTTTAATTCTCCATATTATCTTTAATGTTTCTCTAATTCCATACTGGATGTTTTCAAGCAATTTTCATTACCATTTTCCATAATGCACAATTTAATTTTTTAAAATAGTTGATAACCAATATATTGATTCTAGGAAATCATGCTTAGAAAAAGGCTATATCATAGAGCTATCTTGAGATTCTCAGCTCTGGTTCGTAGACTTCCCTATAAGATTCTAAAAGAGTCTAGTTTTTCATTTTTGTTGAACAAGCTGAACAAAGGTAAACTCAGAATAAGACCCCGTGTGATACACTAAGAAATATAACTACTTCTTTTAACAAACGCCAAGTGCATTACCATTCCGGCATTCAATTATGCGTCAGCTGAAGGTGTATACTTAAAATATTTGGAAGAATTACAGTCGTTTATAAGATGATGTATTGTTACTCAGAAATTAATGCCAATACAGAGCTGCGTGATATGGCAACCTTTTCTAAGCCTGTGAGGTTAGTTAGTTGATTGTTATTTCATTCAAGTATAAATAAGCCGTCAAATTTCAGCATATTTCATTTGCTGTTGCTGAATGCAATATGATTATACTGCATAATGTCGCAGGTACTTCATCTCCAGGGGGCGAAATTTATACCTCATGCAATTTAGGAAACTTCCAAACTGGTGCAAAAGTAAATGGAAAGAAAAACTAAATTAAGCAATAAAATTCAGTAAATTTCGAATACTCTTAGTGTTACGCGCTAAAAATGTATACATTTTTCTCAATCAATAAAGGAATCAGTTTTCCATCGAATACGCAATGGGTAGGCAATAAAATGTTTCAAAATTAGACTTTTGATTTACTCCGCTACAAACGGATTTAAAGTAGTAATATAGAATCTTGAAGCACTGAAATCTTAGGCGGAATATAGTTTCGACGGGGAAAAAAATTAAAAGATATTCTATGTGTACAAGATTGTGTCAAATTATCAATATTAGACCCAAAAACCAGAGCTTCTAAATGTTACTTTGTCTAGGCTACTCGCTGTGATGCATGAATGCCTGGCTAAAGTCTAACGAAAATCCAGCTTATTTGAGTATATATGTAAAAAGAATAAAATTAACAATAAGCTACAATCCTGGACAAAACCATCGACTACACTCCGAACGATTTGTAGTTTTTTACGTAAAACATCAACATTTCTGTGTCGATTTCCCCCTCGCCCCCTAATCAGTTTTGAATTTATGCTAAATGCTTGAATGAAATTTGACATATCAGTCAACATTGATTTGTGGGGGAAAGGGGGATAATTTTGAAATAAATCCCCCGACTGCTGACGGTAGTGTTATTCAACACTGAGTGCATGTCTTCAATGTTTTGACCCAGATTGTAGCTTGCAATCGCGATATCCCTAGGAATATACATACAAGTTCTTGCGACATTGGCCAAAAAGTTGGATTTGTGCTTGGACTTCAATGCAACGTGTATATCTTATGGCCTCTTTAAAAATTCGCTAACCCGGGTGCATAGAGTTGCGTCAGTGAAAAGGACCAGTGGCGGATCCAGGGTAAGTTAGAATAAATTACCACAGCTCTAACTTGCATGATCATATTGGTAGACTTTTATGTAAAAGTATTCTTTAGAAATAAAAACCCAATAGCGTTGTTATTAAGGTATTTTGAATGGGAAATTTTAATTTCCCATTATGTCTATTAAAATAGGCTGTGTAATTTATTCTGACTCACCCTAAATCCGCCACTGCAAAGGACGAATCATAAACATGCAGCGTTTATCGTACGATGGTAATTTTGTACGAGGAATCCCATCCAAACAGAGCCGCATTAAAGATATGCTTGTACCACTCGGGAGTAATTTCGTTATAATACGAACTGATGCTTTAATGTAAAATGGAGCACACAAAATTCAATGGGCCAAGCCTTTTTCCAACTCTGCATTAAAAGAAAGTTTATATTATTTTAATGAAATTCTTGGCCGTATATTTCGTACATTTCAATGATCTTTTTTGCCAAGTTCATACAAAAAATATTGACGAGCCTCTTCATTAGGCTTTACTCAAGTTTTGGCATAGTTATAAGGCTCATTTTTGGTTATGGGTACATTTTCATTTGGAAGCATAATTTTCGAACTTGTGCAGAAAGTTGGAAGGCTCAAGGCTATTGGTTTGTAGCACAACAAATCTAAACGGACGTGTTATATCAAATTTCGAAGAGGTCATAATTATCATATACTAGCAATGAATTCCATGCAACGTACACAAAATCATAACCAATATTTTTATGTAGACCTGTTTTATGTAGACTATAGTTCAGTAATTTGTACTAAATAAGAGCAATGATTGAAAATAAATTTTCAGGGGTAAATATATATTAGGTTTGATCCTGTTAATTAAAAGGAAAGGTTATCTTTTTGACTGCCTGTCATTTTATGTATATATGTTCGGATATATTTTGTTCGGATATATTTTGAAAAGTGCCGGAAGAATGTTTTATGTGAGCCCAAAAACGTAACAATAATATTTTATTCAGTAAACAAACCAAATTTTAAAAAGCCAACTTGCATTTCACGGACTGCGATATCACGGACGGTCAAGCTTTAGTATAGGCATAATTTATCACGTTTCCTACCCTGAAAGTATGGAAGGATGCTTGCTTTCAGCTACAAGACATTCTTTTGCCAACAAATGATGGCAGTTACAGATGAACAAAATTTTCCTCATTAATGGCAAAGGTGCGCCAAGGAATTAAGGATAATTCTGATTAGAACATCTAATTTATACATGACTAGACATTCATTTTTATGTAATATCCATGCTTAATATCTATTTGATATCAGAAGAACTAGAAACTGCTATGTGCAAACCAAAAAATAATTTTTATCTGTCTTTTTAAAAAATACTTCAACCTATTTTAATTATATAGCGAGGAATAGCCTTAAGAATTAAAATGGTTTTTGTTAAACGAACCCTTTTCTTTATTTGATTTGGCTTCCGAATAATAGCTGCAGCATCATCGGGGCCGTATGGGGGGACAGCTTATAAGTTAATCATATTTCGAACACAGAAGTTCGATATAACAATACTTTATTCCACATCAAAACGCTTGCACAGCTGATGGATGAAGTCTAACACTGCTAAATCAAAACGAGGCAGCCTCGACATCGTCAAATCAGTACTTCATCAGCACGCTTTCACAGCAGACGTGTGTTTTCGTCGTGTCCGAAGTAAAACTCGAAGTGAAAATAATTTTTATTAAGAATTTTGAAAGGTTATGGCATCCGATGCTGAAGCAGTGCGTTATTTATTTGTTCAGATTATTATAGATTAATGATAACGTGTGTTGTTCATTGCTTTGCTCGCTGATTTGAACTGATTTGATGATGTACGATGTCGAGGCTGCCTCGTTTTGATTTAGTAGTGTTGGACTTAGTTCTCCATCAGCTGTGTAAGCGTTTTTATGTGGAATAAAGCATTGTTATATCTCACTTCTGTGTTCTCATATAATCTTGACTTTTCTTCGGGCGCTTCGCCCCCTCAATTAAATATAATCCCAACGACAAGTTTGCTTTCTTCAACTTATATTCTGCTTTGCTTCCTGCTGCAATCTCATGTCAACTTCTTATATAACCTACAACTATAGTGCCTTATCGTGCATTGTGTCTCCGTCAAAAGCCCCGTTTACACTACAGTCAATTTATTGGCACGGCACGACAAAAATTGGTACCCGTACCCAATTTTATTAGTGTTCAGGCTACCAAAACAAAGGCCGAGCACTGATGAAATGGGTACGGGTACCCATTTTAGCCGTGCCGTGCCAATAAATCGAGTGTAGTGTAAACGGGGCTAAAGTGTCAACCACGTTACTATTAGTTACTTCTGTCTCTCACAATTTGCACATTACCCGTTCATCAACATTAATAGCACATTGCTTAACAGTGAACTCGATCAATCTCTGACCTCCCTTATGATTTAGATAACCATGATGGGCCATAGCAGCGACCAGTTGAGCAGACATCTGTTTAACCTAAAGAAACCCCGACATATTACATTATTCAATCACAATGGCTTCCTTAAGCACTGCTATAGATGGATCAATTAGGTGTTGTAAAGCCTAGTAGCCTAGCTCGTATTTCCGTTTCATCTTCTCTAAGTATTATAGAATAAACTTTTCTTAGCAATCTTTTCTTTGCATTAAAACTGAGCATTTATAAGTGAAATGAATGTTCTAAGATAACCGTTGTTAAAATAAAAATGAACCTATTCCTTAAACAACCACCCCGACCCCCTTCCTATCACGACACACGATTTGCAAACCTTTGTGCTGGTATCTGCGATAACAACCTGAACGCCGGTTACCAGAAGAGATTTCTTGTTCTCCAAATAGCTTTCTGTGAAAATTTAGGAAACCAGTTGAATAAAGGACATTCATTACATAAAAAATAACCATTTAAAAAATCATAGAATAAAACGAATAAATTCGAAAAAAAAAATAATGTCGTGGTGAAATTCAAGATAGGAATGCTGGAAGCACGAACGTTCGAACCTTACCCTAGCACTATAGAGGGGACGGTTATCACCGATTGAAACTAAATTTTTGAC